GGGAATCACATCTCAGCCGCCTGCCTTTATGCATTAACAGGGGAAAGCAACTGGGCTTAGCTCCTCATTGAGAAATTAGTTTCTCACTGATCTTGTTCATTTACCAGACACTGGAAAAGTTACTCTTTCAGAATAGAACTCCCACAATCCCCCCCAGCCAGTAAGACTTCTGCTTACAGGATTATGGGAGCTATAATTCAGAAAGTAACATGTTTTAAGTTCTGAAACTCACCTGAAAACTACGTAGCTGTCAGAGTGGAGAATACCCACGTGTGTTGCTTCTGAGGAAGCGAGAGAGGGAATGGGTTCAGAAATTTTGAAGTGAAGTCCCCTTTCTTTCTTGGTGCACAAGCCTTCTGTAGGCAAAACAGTTTATCTGGGCTGTGCTAAAACAAGTTTCTGGACTTGGGACAATCTTGGTCCAAACTTTAGCTCTGAGCAAAGTTCTTTGCCAAGCTCCATTTCCTCAGAAAGATATTGAGATAATTATTCCTCCTCCTTTAGACCCTGTAATCCTTCCTAAGGCATTTTTTGCATCTAACTTTTTCTTTCTTACTCACAGCTCCGTTCCCCTGCACCGTGTTCCAAGGCAGCTAATGGCTTCACCTCCCATGCGTGGATGCCACCTCGGCACTTGCCAGATCCAGAACCTTGCCAATCTGCTATACCGCTACGGGAGCAATGCCCAGAAAGAGGAATCCCACAAGAACAACAAGAGCACAACTGATCCCATGGGCTACGGGCGCAGGAAACGCCGGGCAGCTGGGCATGGCGTGCCCACTCCTACTTAAGAGATCCTGTGCTGGCAAAAGGAGTACGATCACCGACAGAACTGGGTTCTGGGGATCTGCAAGAACTCAGAGAATGGGCTGGATACACCCCAGCAACTGGAAGGCTCTGATACAGAAACAGCAGTGGGCTGGGACTTTGTTGGCAGATACAGTCACTGTGTAAGACTTGTGATGGCAGAAGGGTTCTCCCTCCCCACTTCCGGAGTTTAGTGTTCCTAGCTTTGCAGGGATGTAGGCTTCAGAGTGGTACCAATCAATAGGGTGCGAATCACTCTCTGCTCTGTACTGACCCCTTTTGTCCATGCAGTGAAGTGACATGTGCAAGAGTGTACCTAGCACTGGACTACCACCCGCATGATGCCACAGTTCAAAACACTGTAATAATCCAAGGCAGCTGATAGAAAGGGCATTGAAAAAAACCCCAGAACAGCTCTGCAATGCACCTCTGCAGAAAGAGAAGCTGACTTTATCTCACTTATAGCATCACAGGCAGGGTGGTGAGTGGGGTGGAATCAAAGGAGTCCCACAGCATTTTTGCCTTGTAGGATCTTTTACTTAATTTGTACACATGGAACTGTTTTGAGGAAAACATTGTTAGTAAAGATATATATTTTTCCAACATGGAATCTACAATGGTGTATTTGTTGCTTTGCTTCAATTGTGGTGTGTGTGTGTGTGTGTGTGTGTGTGTGTGTTTATGTGTTTGTGTGTGTGTGTGTGTGCATTGCCATAAGGCTATGTAGCTGGGAATGGATGCATGTTTCATCTTTCCAAGAGCCTGCATCTTTTGACATTGCCATAAGGCTAAGGGAAACCATTTGCTGTCATGATGAAGCCAATAATTGGGAGAACTCCCAGATTTGCAGGAGATAGAATTACAGGATTCTTATTGGGTAGATGAGTTGCTACAAACTGATGACATTTCTCTTCAAGCCTTGGGTGTTCCTTTAAAAACAAATCAGAGTGGAATGAGTTAATGAGTGCTCTGGTTTGACTGCTGGAAACTCAGGATGCTTAGAGCACACACATCGCTAATTCTGGTCATTGTATTGCACCTAAAGAACTGACTAGTCCTGTGGAAATATATCATTAAAATCTCTGTATGTCATTTTGTTGATTGATAAAATTATATATGCAACTTATTTTTGCACTCATAAATAACCATTAAAATACTTTATTTTAAGTTACATTTTAATCTTCTTGCTCCGAGGTGTTTGGGGTGGCATATGGGATTTATCCTTCTTTTTATTCTCCTCACAATCCTGTGAGGTAAATGTAATGGCGATGACTGGCTTAAAGCTCTGAATGAGCTACATGGCTAAATGGGCACTCAGTTCTTGACTGTCTCTCTCTTTAGCCACAAAATAAAATGGGTTAGAGAAAATTAGGGTGCCCATACTCTCAGAAAGAAGAGAGAAGCCCTGGTTAGACAAATTAAATTGTGAGCTACAATTCTGGTTTTCTGAGTTGGGAGGCAACTGTGTTAGCTATTTACCCTGCAGTTCATACCAGATAAGGAAAAAAAAAATACCAGTGACTACACAACATAAAGTTCAGGAAAGCTCATTATGGACTTGTCTCTTTTTAGTGGGGAATTGTCTTTTTTTTGTTCAGCTGGCAGGAGTAGTTTAAATTTGCACCAGTTGGGCTGACATTGGATTTGCCCACTCTCTGCTCTGTGTAATCACCCAACCCAATGCAAAGGGGGCACTTGTGGAGGTATTACTTCCTCTCAACTGCCTGTCGCCTGTTATTTCCAACTAGAACACTGAAGTGCTGTGCCCCTTCCTTAAAATAAAATTAAAAAGAGGCAAAGGTATATTGACACTAACACATGCATCAAAACGTTTGCACTGTGGCAAATCAAAAGAGGTTTATGAAGCTCCAGATTCCATATTACGAGACAAGCCAGAGAAGCTGCTTTGACAAAGGCCCAGTGGGTCTGAGAGCTCACACAGGCAACTGTTGTCCCAGCCAACAGTTCTCCCAGTGGCTCTTTGGAGAAGCTATTGTCCCAATTTGCTATTAGAAGATCTTCTGGGTCAGAAAGTATTACTCTTAAGTCCCATTTCAATTCCTCTGCACATTTAATTTTAAAAATGAACTACTAATACAATTCCAGTGGTATATCCTCCAATATTTGAGATTAAAGTAGGGAGACATGTTTAACACGTACCATTTGTACAGCAGACTGTCCTCCAATTATTTTTAAAAACTAAGATATGTGGCAAGCCGTTGACATTCCAGATGTTTTGGCCTATAAATGTCAATAGCTCTACAGAGCAAGATTAATGCTAAAAGACTGTGAGGACTAGAGAGTCAAAGATTCCCCGTTTATTGGTTAAAGGGATATTTAAAAACCACAATCATCCTATAATATCAATAGTCAGAATGGGTCTTGAACAGTCACTAGAACAAAGTGGTACACATTTATAAATCCGTGATTTGAATGTAAGCAAAGTAGACAAGCATTCTGACTCAGTCTGACCCATGCTATAATATGGTCAGCTTTACGAGGTTTTTGTAAGGATTATAAGATACATTTGAAACACTCGGAACATTTGAAAGCACTACTGGACTGGGCCTTCCATAAGGGAAACAGAGGAAGCTGCCTGAGGTGGTGGACTCTAGTGATGAAGGAAAAATAAAAGGCATCCTGAGCCTCCTCACTTCTTCTGTCTTGGAAAGACAAGATTGTATTTGCCACAAAACCCTGTTGTCTGCCCCAAAACTAATACAGTATACTCAGGTGCAGTTGAAAATGTTATCCCATTACTGGTTTTGAGGTAAGATTTAGTAGCCAGTCTAATGGGCTTCTGTATGTGGAATGGAGAGCCCATACGTGCCTCAGTTAGTGGCATATCCTGGACTAAACCTAGTCATTGTCGTCGTCATCATCATCATCATCAAAAGTATAAATCTTCAGCTGCAGCATGTGAAATGATAGGCTGTTTGTAATATGCATGGGTGGATGTGTCATTGTGACAGGGTACATTCATATTTCACTCATTGGTTTAATTTGCCTAAAAAATAGGACATGAGTTACCTTGTCTATACCAAAATATTTTTCTACTTTAAACAAAACAGCAAATGGAGTCTCCAACTGTCCAAAATGTACATACGTAGTAGCATCTATAGTCCCCAATATAATCAAAGTTATTCTGACACTTGAGGCAGATAATCCTTCAAGGCGCCATCCCTTCCAGTAAAGATTTAAAAACAAAATAACCAATAACTATTTTCAACCCATTCACGACACCCAAAACCTGCTGATTAACAGTAATACCTCACTCTCTACAATACTAGTGCTAGCCACACAAATGACAATTATTTTCAATTTATTTATTTCATTTTTATATCCTTACTTTCTTCCAGGACTATAATTCAAGATAGCACACACATTATTGCATTAAAAACAATTTGAAAACACATTAAAATGCAGCATCTATTTTTTTTTAAACCAAACTCCTTTCCTTTCTCAACAGTGAGCTGAGCGATTGCTGAAAGGTTGCTTGACCAGAAAGATCTTAGCTTCTTGAGTGAAAGACAATAGCAAGCAGAGTAATCTGGCCTCCTTTAGCAGGGAGTTCCACAGCCTGGCAGTAGCCATTAACAATGCCCCCTTTTCTCATACCATTGTACATACCTGCATCTGAAAGTAACGGGACTGGGAGCATCTTGTATTAATACAATTTATTTTAAAAGCACCACCTGCAAGGAAAATAATCATTAACATGCAAAGCAGTGCTTTGTGGCAAATAGAATCACACACCTATGTGTAAGTTCTATATTTATTCATTGTTTTCATGTACAAAGGCAGAGTCACTATATTGTAGCAGCACACGAATATACCATTATGCATCTTTCTTCAACACCAGCACCAGCAGCCTGGAAAAATGCCTTGGAACACTCTTGCTTTAATGAGAGCTACAATATTGGGAATGTTCCTGATAAAAGATGGGCACCCATCCGAGCATAAGGGAGAGGGGGCGGGGAGCCTGGGATTCAAGAAGACTCCGAGCTCCTGAGAGCCATCGTAGCCAGCGGTTAAATCAAGAAGTGCTGAACGTCAACCCAGAGTTGAGAAGGTCAAGGGATCTTTAGCCGACCTCGGACGACCATCTTTTAAGAGCCTCAGTGTTTGCTCCGGGCGGGCTCTAGAGACGGCAAGCGGTATTGTAGTCAGAAAGGCAATAAAGCGGCGCGGGGCATGTTGGGAAAATCATTGGTTCGCCGGAGCCGGCATGGCGAGCGGGGCGATGATGGGAGATGCTCAAAGGCCAGCGAGGGAACAGCCAGCCGGAGGAGAGGAAAGGATTCAGCTGAATAGGGGGTAGACGAGAAGGCGGTTGCCCAGGAAAGTGGAGGGGAGGGGGCGGAATTAAGGGAGGAACAGGAGAAGACAGAAATCGCCCAGCTAAGAGGGAGAGACAAAAAGAGAGGATGGGAAGAGGAGGAGGAGAAAGAGGGGGGAAGGATGCTGTTGCTGACCCGGCAAGAACGAGCTGGTAAAGGGGGTGGTGGTGGAAGGGCATAGGTTTGGAGCATGACCCCGCCCCAGAAGTGGGTCAGGATGCTCTTGACTGGGGCTTCCCCCCAGGGCAGCAAGGTGAGTACTTTCTAGGACTCCTGGTTTCCCTGGGAAGGAGAGGAGGTTGGGGCAGTGGGTGGGTGCAAGAGAGGCTGATGCTAAAGGCTTGGGGTGTATGTGTGTGTGCGCGCGCGCTTTAAACTGGGAAAGTGGGTGATGGGCTGAGAGCCAGGGCTGCTGTGATGGGTCACTGGGGTAGCAGGTTGGAGTAGAAATTATGCTTGCCTTGTGTGTGTGTGGGGGGGGTGGGTTTCATGGGTTTAAAAAAGGGAGGAATTCAGGGCTGCTTAAAAGGGGAGCCTAATCCAAGCACTAGGCCTCTTCCTTGCTGATCCCGGGGGGGGGGGCAGTGGATCCCAGTTTCTGGTGGGCTTAAAACAGGAAGTTCCTGTCTGACCTCTTTTTGTCCTGTGTGTTTTGCTTCCTCAGAATTGGCAGCCTGACCCATCCCGGGGATTTCAATGAGGTTTGCTGGTGAAAGAGGTATGTTGTCTCCTTGGAAAGGCTTGAGGGTTTTATGGTGGAGATGCGAAGTATGGGCACAACAGCTGGCCATAGTGGCTCCCTAAGGGCATAGGCACACTGGATAGTATTTATAGGCAGGCCAGTGCAGCCACTGCTCAGGCAAAGCAGAAGATGATCAATGTTTTGTTAGCACAAGGGAAATGATGGGGAGGGAGCATCAGATGGGAGGGATGAGTAGGGACTGTGTTCAATAGACTTTGATTTTTCAGGATTTTGCCTTTTCTGCTTTTGCTTGGCTGTGTTCTTTCTCACTAGTGGGGAAAGCGAAGATTTAAGTGCTTGGCCCCTGAAGATTTGAAGGGAAACAAGACTTTTCTCTTACACTACTTTTCCATTCTTCCTTCACCCTCAAACTGGTCCCAAAAGGAGTTATATATCTGCACTTACCTTCTAGATTCCAAAAGAATGTAGAAATCTGTGGTGCGTATATTTGCTTATGTCGTAGTCTGGCGGCACATGATTTAATCACCTGCAAGCTTGGTTCTGGTCAGTGCCTGAATAAGACACATCTGGGAATTCTAGAGTTCTATGATTAAAGAAAGATGGAATATAGGTCAAATAAGTAAATGAGGGGTGTGAGCTGCTTCCTTCTTGAGAAATATGGAGACCAGGATAGGGAAATGGAGGAGCACTTTGGGCGGGAGAGATAATGGAGGTAATTATTGTTGTGGTCCTCCACTGGATTTTCAGATTTATGCTCCTGTTCCTCTGTTATTAACATTTTGATGTGGTTAATTACCAACAAAAATATAGACAGGAATCTGGGAAAGGATTTTTAAAATATCCTTCTATTCTGAGTTCAATTATGCAGTCCAGAGCATGTAGACATTTTCTGAACTAAAACTCTTATAATCATCCAGGCAGTAATCATGATGCTTAGGAAGTCTGGGAGTCACAGTCCAAAAAAGGAAAATTTCACAACTCTGATGCAAGTTTGCATGTAAGGCCATAAATATTACTAGATGAAAAAAATGTCTGCTAGTATACAGTGGAACCTCTACTTAAGAACTTAATCCGTTTTGGAATGGTGTTCTTAAGTTGAAACGTTCTTAAGTTGAAGCAAAATTTCCCATAGGAATGGACTAATTACTAGATGACAAAAATGTCTACTAGTATACCTGATCATAGATACTGAGGTTAATGATTTATGGCACAATAAGTGACTTTAAAGACTGGAGGCATATAACCTTTTCTGTTTCATAAATGTTTCTCTCTATGATGGTTTGAGACAATAGAACAGCCAAACTGGATGTCACACATTGTGCATGTGAGGGTCTTCCATCTTTTCTGAAAATGAAAACCAGTCCTAGGAGACTACAACTTTTGATCTGCATTCATTCCTATGAATAAATATGTAGGAGTAAGTCCCACTGAACTTAATGAGCATTCTGTTTTTAAAATTACCATGAGATACCTGATTCCTATGTAACATTTGTGAGTCCTACCTCTCAACAGGCAGTTGGGTATTTCTAAGCCAGTACGAAATAAATCTTCTTTAACTGAACGAGATAGTACCATAAGATGTGGTGGCATGCTGGCCTTGAGACCTCTTGAAATATAGTGGCATGCCCTAATGTTAGAAGTACAATTTCTGCTTGAGATGTCCTATATTCACTGCATGTCAAAGACGAGCAAAATGTGTTCTGTGGACCACATGAAGCCTGGGGCTGAAATGTACTTTCCAGCACTAGTGTCCCCACCCAGCAGCTATACAATCCCCATTTTGGCTCAGATAAGTCCTGGAGCACCCTCTAGGGGACATAGGGATAATTTACTATGTTTTGAGGGGGAACAACAGCTGGAGCACCCCAGGAGTTTAAAAAATGTATATATATTGGCCACTAGAAAGCATAAGGATGCTTTTTCAGTAAACCCTTGCCTCCATTTTTCTAAAAAATGAGGGGATGACATAGTGGTTTAGGTATCTGACTATGGAGCCAAAGGCTGGAAGTTCAATTCAAAGTAAACACTTGCCTCCATTTTTCTAAAAAATGAGGGTATGACATAGTGATTTAGGTATCTGAAAATGGAGCCAAAGGCTGGAAGTTCAGTTCCCTACTATGTCCCCTTGACAAGGGATTGACTTCATGATCCAGAAGGTCCTTTGCGTCTCTGCAGTTCTAAGATGATAATGATGATGATCACAGGAGCAGCTCTCCAAGCAGTAGGGATTTGTTGCCCACTGTTGCTGTATATGCTTAATGCTGTGCTCCTTAATGATAAAACATTGAAAAATTAAAAGTAGTACTATACATGCTAGCAGGATGTTGATTAAATTGGATAGGCTTAGGTAGGAAGAGTTGATTGCAGGATGGTATGGAAGGTCCAAACAGTTGTGCAATTGGAAACATATTCTCCGAGTCTAAATTGTGTGCTACATACTTACATTTACCGTATTTTTCGCTCTATAAGATGCACGTCCCCCCCCCCCAAAGTAGTACTATACATGCTAGCAGGATGTTGATTAAATTGGATAGGCTTAGGTAGGAAGAGTTGATTGCAGGATGGTATGGAAGGTCCAAACAGTTGTGCAATTGGAAACATATTCTCCGAGTCTAAATTGTGTGCTACATACTTACATTTACCGTATTTTTCGCTCTATAAGATGCACGTCCCCCCAAAAAAGTGGGTGGGAAGTGTCTGTGTCTTATGGAGTGAATACTGTAAAACAGCGCCCCAGGGCCCAGCGGGAGGATGGTGGGGGGAGCCTCCAAAGGATCCCAGAATGTTTTCCAGGACCCTTTGGAGGCTCACCCCCCCATGGGGCCAGCGGGGCTGGCGATTTCACCCCCGCTGGCCCTGCGGTGGGGCAGGGGGAGCATCGGAAGGGTTCGACACTGCCTTCCAGGACCCTTCGGAGGCTCCACCCATCCACCCACCCCGCTGGCCCCGCAGGTGGGGCGGGGACCCTCGGAAGGGTCCCGGAAGGCACTTTTGGACCCTTCCGAGGCTCCCCCCACCCCTACTGCCACAGGCCCAGCAGGCCGAAATTGCCAGAATATTTTTTCCTGTTTTCCTCCCCTAAAAATGAAGTGTGTCTTATGGAGAGGTGCGTCTTATGAAGCAAAAAATACAGTGTATCTTACCTGTCTTCTAACAATCTCAAGACCAAGTACACACATGTCTTCTAACAATCTCAAGACCAAGTACATGCTTCTCTCCCATTTATCCTTCACAATGATGTAGGTCACACTAAAAGAGAGTAACTGACCCAAAGTCAGCCAGTGACATTTTGCAGCTTATTGGGGACATGAACCTGGATCTCTTAATTACTCTCAGCCCTGCACATGCTCTCATTCTCTTTAACAAATGTAGGCCAGTCTGGAGAACCTTTCGCCCTCTGGATGTTTTTGCTTATAACGTCCATCAATGGCCTCCAGGACAGCTGAAGGTAAAAGATTATAAGTGTTCTAGCTCAAAACATTTGGAGGTCCAAAGTTTCCTTACCCTTGACGTAGGTCACCGGTAAGCCTAAAGATAAATCTGAAAGCCATGCGTATTCTGGATTTGTTACATAGCATGAAAAGAAATATTTATTTTTGTGAGGCAAGAAGTTATCATTAGAGGTAATTACTTGAAAGGATAAGTATATCTTTGAGTTGGCGGTGGTTAAGAAACAGACAGAACAACTTCCTGTTGTCAAACAGAAGTAGAATTATTTTGTTTATTTTGGCCCAAAGACCTCTGTCTTCCATATCCTGGAGGTTTCCTCACTTTTCTTCCCTCACCCTCTTTTCTTTGCACGTGTAGGGGTGTGCATTGAGTGAGTATACTTATCCCAAACATCAGACCTGCTGAAGGAAACAAGTCTGACTCGTTTTGAGGTGGGAGGGAATTGAGGAAAAAGTCTGGGAACATATTCACCTGAGGAGGCTGTGGGGAACCAGTGGGAGTTTTTGCCTGTGCTGAGGAGATACAACCCTGGTGAGCAGTAAGTTCTTGGACCAAATGATTTAGAGGGGATGGGGTGGAGATGAAGATTACTGTGGTGGTGAGGATGATGGAGTGGTCTGAAAGCCTTCCAAATTAGTTATCGACCCAAAATAATGTTCCTGTATTCAGGACACAGTTCTTTCAACCTAACATCCTGCAGAATTATTATAATACAGCCCTGGTTCTCCACAGCCAGCATGACATTTGAACCAGATTGGGGAAGGCTAATTAAAGGATTGGGAATCAAAGCAAGTAAGGTTGCCATTCTTTGGGGTTTTATGGAAGTGACAAAGGCTGGAGGAATCTAGTGAGGACCTGGAATGGGTGTTGAAGAATTTGGACTGGAATTTGGAGAAATTGGGCAAATGAGGAGACACTGTTCTGGGATGGATTCTGTAAAAAGAGGTTTCTTTTTACAGAGATCTCCTGGATTCTGTGAAATTTTGCTGAGCTGCAGTTAGACCTGGGGAATGAACATGCTGGCTGGTGGATTCTGGGAATTGTAGTTCAAAAAGGTAACTTTTCCAAGTTGGTTACAAAGCATCACACACATGAAAATAGGTTTAGTGGGAGTAGGGCTTTTGGTGGGATACAACTGGGTAGTGGTGGCTTTTTGGCAGAACATTTGGCTTTTCTGGATACAATGTGGATTCTAGCAAGACACTTATTCCCAGGATTGTCAAGTCCTGTGCCTGATGCCTTTTGTCTCCAGTTCTTCTCTTCCATGTTCCTGCCTTGTTTTCCTTCCTGTCTTCGGTATGTTTTCTCCTGGAAAAACATGCTTGAGGCCATTCATTATTAATTCACTCATTTTGTATTATAGATTATGAGTGAGAGGCAGATGTTTCAAAGGTAGTGTTCTCCCTGATTTCAGAATGAAATGAATGGACAGGCTTTCAATCCAGTTCTGGTTTACTTCATTCTGGAGTGTTTGTTTTCACTGGGTGGGACCCCAAAAGACCTAACGCTAGATGGGAACAATGGACAGGACTGCCATTCTAGGAAGAGGACATGAATTTAAGGAG